CGTGCGCACGCACGCATTCTCACACACACACACATACACAGAGAGATGAATTCTCAGAAAATTACTGAAATTATATTATGAAATAATATAATAAAGGAACAAATATTCTAATGATTTTTTTCTTCAAGTCTAAGGATTCCATTTCATATTGGTTTGAATAATAATAATAATAATAATAATAATAATGATGATGATGATGATGATGATGATGATGATGATGATGATGATGATGATGATGATGATAAAGTTGGAAGGTACCTTGGAGGTCATCTAGTCCAACCCCCTGCTCAGGCAGGAAACCCTATACCATTTTGGACAAATGGCTGTCCAGTTTCTTCTTAAAAACTTCCAGTGTAATTTTTCTAGGAATGTAGCATGATTTGTTAAATTACTATTGAGTTATAGAAAGTCATCTTTTATGCTTACAACCATAGTCCAAAGACAACATGAACCAAAAAATGTGTTCTGATCTTACGCTTAAACCTGAATTACATGGCATTGCTTCCTTGCAGCTGAATCCTAACTGCATTTATGAATGGACTGGGAGGGTCAGTCAACTGATATGGTTGGTTTTTAAACTAATTAATCTGACAAGATTAATTTTACACAAATAAATCTGAGAGATTAATTCATATATTAATGTTGCCCTTTCCTGCCCGAACAGATTTCTTCTGACAGATATTATTAGTGAAGCAAAGGAATAGTTTACTGATGCTTTTTAAACTATATGGAAGATAGTACCATGATTTAATTATTTCCTTTATGATATAGTCTTGTGCTATGCAGAATCATTTTTAATTTAAAAGTGTTTGCTTTTCATCATAAATTATTTAAAACATGTTGCTATTTCCCAGAATTTTCAGGAACTTAATTCTTAAGGGACAAACATTTGGATTATCTAGTTTAGATATTTCCACTATAACGTTAGCTCCATCAAAAACTTTTGTGAGCCAAACTAGAAATGTATGTTTAAATTCTTATCATAAGCATAACTTTTACTTAGCAGAACTGATATGCCTGAAACAAGTAGCAGCTGAATGCAAACCTGCATGTATAGTGAAGTTATAGAGGAAATCTTAATGGAAGTATTCACCTAGTTTAGTATTCAGCAGTCTTCATATTTTTGGGTTATGTTTTAGGCTTCTTACAAAGCTGCTCATTTTCTTTTTTGAATTCTCTATAATCTGTCTGCAGGACATCATCACATAGCTAAATCTAATTTGCATCACTCTATTGTGACATCATAGTTCATGATAACTGAGGGAGATCACCCATATTATTTATCCAGGAAGTAGGTAGAAGCATCCTATAATGTTGGGAAAGCCACAACAGATCCAGCAAACCAGAAAAATAGCAAGACTTTCTCTTTTTAAAGAACGATTTAAGTATTTGCTTATTTAATATTTTAGCCAAAGACATTTCTATTTCTCAAAGAACAATAGTCCTGGCCACAGAATAAATGACAAAGAATAATCAATCTGCTCCTTAAACGTAAGGGGCATTTCAGTATTACAGATTTCCTGGAGATGGTTTGTTTATCTCTAGGGGACACCCAGTAATGATTTTCTGATATAGGAATAATGTCTGAATGGTCCTCCAAATAGATTATCTGGATGTTCTGTTTAGACAAGAGAGGTGGTTTTTAGATATGCAAATCTACTTGAAACTAGAAAAATGCTGAGGCTAGATTCTTAGGGAATTTCCACCCTACCGCCAATTCCACTCCCTTCTTAAAAACAGTTTGAGAATAATTTTCTGAAAACAAGGAACAAAAATAACTGCCCTGCTCTTAGTTGTTTCAGATTCTGCAACAATTCAATCCCCCCATGCAAAAGGCAAAGACAGAGAAGAAGAAAGTCTCAAACAGTCCAAACATGCCTGTCTGAATTAATATGCTCATTATTTTTTTTATGAAATAATAGATTTAAAGTAACTGTATTTGTTCCAACTGGGACCTGCTCTGGAGGATCCAGCATTTGCTTCATCTCTTTATTGTCTAGTTTCTTTACTGTTATAAAACAAAATGTTCTACAGAACTCGAAGGTTTCCTGAGCTAATGAAATAGTATATTTTATTTAAATCTATACTGGGCCTTATGCAGCCAATCACATATAGAATGCAAACAGACCAGCACCTGCCTCATAACACCCCAGATTCAACAATTGTTGATAAGAAAGACAAAAAATTCTGGACACTGGATGTTCTGTTGGAGATAGCAAAAGAAAAGAGAAATAACTGGAGAAAATCACAAAATATAAAGACCTGCAAATAAAATGGCTGTGGCAAAAGAAAGCAAACACAGTAGCAATAGTAATAGGTGCCTTGGGTGCAATCTCAAAACATCTGGAGCGCCATTTGAACACCACTGGCATTGACAAAAATCACCATCAGTCAATTGCAAGAGGCAGCTTTAGTTGGAACAGCTTACATCCTGCAGCAATACCTAACACCATCAAACAACAACATCTGCCTCTTTCAGGTCCTTGGGAAAGACTTAATAGGTGAATAAAGGTCAGTGGTGGGATTCAGCCAGTTTGCACCACTTTGGCAGAACCGGTAACTAATTTTTTGTTGCCCAGGCCCAGAATGGACTTCTGGAAGTAGCATCCACACAGAGAACCGGTTGTTCACATATTTGAATCCCACCACTGATAAAGGTGCCAAATCCAGTCTCAACATCTGGCTGACAGTGTGACCAACCATAATAATAGAAAAAAGTCTTGATTTACATAAAGCTGTTCCCCTGCAATAGAGAAAGAGGATACTGGCAATTTTTCATGGGTTGATTCTGCTAAGACTGCTGAGGAGAAAATGGAATATTGACATGTCAGTATGTACCTTACAGGACTTAAGGGAAGCAGAATCTCAGAAACAGGAAGGAGCAATGAGATAAGAGTTTTTTCCTATGGGAAAGCAGCTTGCCCACAAATACTACAAAGCTCCAGCGTTCCCAGCTGAAAATCAGCCTTCAGAATATTTCAACTTGAACAGCATCTAAGGCAGAAACATATTGGTTCAGCTACTGAACAGAGACAAGATGCCCTTATAAGGTGATTTCTAGCTAATCCATCAGCAGCTTGACCTGATATGGCTTCAACATCCATTACCTCCAGCCAGCATGTGGATTATTCTTCACTGAAAAATCTATCCATTTAAATAACTTTCAAAACAAAAGCTTTCAAAAACAACAGTTACAACTTAAAGCAACAACATCAATTAATCTAAAACTACTCAGGACTCATCACATGAAATCATAAATATCAGAGCTTCTAAATGTAAGAAACGAATACTCAATATTCAAGCATTTTTGCCATCCTTTTATCCATGTCTTTTGTCTTATTTTACCCAGCAACAACAGAATTTCAGGAGTTAAAACTAGAAGTCACATAAGTGAATATTTACACAGATTCCAGGGAAAGTACAATGATCTTTTCAGATTGTAACAAAATCTGAATAATAACTGTCTTAAGATTCTATCCTATTTATGTCTGTTGTTGAGCTGTCAAGAAATGAAAGCTAGATCTAGGTTTTTGTCTCGTTTTGTTTCATACGTAGAGTTTCAATAGCAAAAAGGTTGTTCTTCCACTTTGCTTTAAAATATGTATTTTTAAAATATCTTTCTAACACTTTAGTGAATGTACAAATTATAAGACAGCTTCCAGATAACAATCATTAACAATCATGTCAACACACTAGAGCTAGGTATGTTAAAGATAGTTAATTTGTCCAAATATGCTAGGGAAAAACAATTTTACTGGCCATGCAGATATCTGGAATTTTAGAAGAATGTTATAGACACTCACAAAATGGTTGCCCTGGAGAATGAAGCCAAACACAATGTAACAATTGATCTGAGGGGGATTTACCTCATGTAATAGTATGTGGGAATTACCTTAGGAGGCAGGAGGAAGATCTCCAGCCTAGGCAATGGTTGGCTAAGAGGTAGATCAGTCCCCACAGGAAGTGTTTTAGAAGGGATCTTCTCTAGTAAATCAGCCTTTGGAGTATTTCTATTTGAAAAGCATTTAAGACAGACTAAAACGAGAGGAGGGGAGAAATACTTTACAAGATTGATGTTAGCCTTGAAGGTAGTCCAGACAACAAGCAAAACTGGAAACATTGTATTTTAAAGTTACATTAAACAGAATCTTGCAAGATTGAAAGTATTTCTCTCTTCTGTTCTTTCCGGTTTCTAGATAATCCGGAAGGGTGTATTCTAAAACGTTTCCTATGCTTTTCCCCCACCTGTGAACTGAGTTGCCTCTTATCAAACCATTGATAGGCTTCCTCCTATCTCCCAGGATCATTCCCACTTATAATCACATCTGGTGAGGGAATCCTTGTCAGTCTCTTGAGCTCCTCCTCACTTCCACTATAGACTTGATTGCCCTGCTTACCTTTGTCTGTCTGGACTGCAACAATTAATCCATTGTTCATTTCTGTTCAACCAATGTTTATGGGGCCTACAGCGTATAGGTTTGGGTGTGTCCCAGCAACATTTTTGTCAATACAGATGAGCCTGAATTTCCTCTTCCATTTAATCAGAAAAATCTAATTAAAATGGATCTGGAGAGGGAAATATCCTTGAGCACACTGTAATCTAAAGGTACCAATACTGCCTATCCTATCCTAAAATATACTGTGAGGCAAAATAATTTCCCCTTTTGGGAACAATGGGTGGGAAAAGGAGAGCAAAATTAATTTGTTGCATAGAATTTAAGGGATTATTGATTAATACATCAATACAAGCCAACTCCCTTATTGATTTTGATTTTGTTTAAACTGGGACTTTATTTTTGTTTTTAATTGGGATTTTATAGTCCATCTATTACACTGAATACTGCTATCATTTAGATTTGCCAATACATAAGAAAAGCAAATAATATGAACATGATATTTGTGAAAGCAGTGATGCACAGTTTCAAAAATATGGCGAAGAGTAGCATGCATGCTATCAAATTCTGCAGTAGGCTTAATGGGGCTTACACAACTCAACTTACCACTTAATGGATGAGGAACAGTATATTGTTTCTTCTTACTTGTAATGGAAGCTGAGGAAAGCTTGCAAGATAGAGCAGTTCCTTGTTTTTTACCCAAATCCTCACTTTGTTGTGCTTTCCTCAGTTGCACTATGTGTTCGAGTTTTTTTAATCGTTCTTGTGAGCGGGAAATAAAATGAGGCTTGTGAACTTCCAGTGCCTCCTTAAAAAAGCAGAAATCAAAAGGATACCATTAGTGCAGACATGTCAAACTTGCGACGTCACGTGATGTTGCATAACGTATCGGGACGGTTTTGCCATTGCCAGCAATGGGGTGGGCGCGGCTTCCGGATGACACATCCAGCCCGCAGGACAGCAGTTTGACACCCCTGCTCTAGATGTAATGGCTGTAATGAGGCATCTTTTGGCAATGTAGACTGTGCAACATCATTAAACAAATGGATACTAGCTTTAACCACATGTGTCAGAGGAGATAACCAGTGCTATGTACATATTACTTAATCACATTTGTTCATTTTGTCCTATTAGGGTATTTTATTTATTTATTTATTAAATTTATATGCTGCCCATCCAAAACAATTCCAGCTGGCTTACAATAAAATAAGAATGCAGTAATAAAGGATGGAAGAGGATGTGAAATGTCTTCAGTTTCCTATGTTCCAATATTACTTACATTGGGAATTTGAACAGAAGCCTGTGTATAACCAGCATATTTTTCCTGCAGTAAATGCAAGTAAAAAATTCATTGCAGAACTGCAAGAAAGATAGATTGGGTGAAAGCCCAGTATATGTAAAGACATGGGGAACAGGTGGGCAAACAAAGCCCTATCCTTTATTCAATCTTGCATGTGTTATGCAAGTGTAATACTTGAATGGACTATATTTTGCATGTGATTTTTAAAACCATGATGAACCACTCATATTTCCAGGACCACACATAAAATAATCCCCTGAGTCTGCTTCAGCCCCTATTACTGAAAATAAGTTGATTTTCTGCTATTTTGAGGATTAAAATACACAGGAATTATTATGTAAACACTAAAATATGCTTAATATAATTAAAAAACCAAAGACCCCCACCCCCCAAACTCAGAGGGGGCAGATCCTGGCTGCAACCACATGTGCTTCTGTCCTCTTTACATAATTGCTCTGTCCTCTGAAAAATATTCAGTATTATGAATTTGAGGGAGATCTATTTTTCCAGAGCTAGTTGTGTAGAAATCCTAGGATATGAATTCACATAATCTTCTGCAGTTAAGGGGAATTATCAGATTAATAAGAATTATAAATAATGAGGGAGATGGTTAAAAAAAGTATACTATATACGCAAATAATAGCATGGCTTAAACCAGGATACTAGACAAGTCACTTCCAAATTCAATGTATCATGTAAGCAAAATGCTTCTCAGCAATAAGAGCACATTCATAAAACTACTGATTTTCTGCTTTTAAAAAACATAGGAGCAGTAAATGTCTTTTTGCTCCTAGTGGATTTCCAAGGAAATAACCATATCAATGTGAAGAGTTAGCAGGGAATGTGGATATTTTACCCTGAGAGTCAGTGGGCTTGCAGGAATTTTCTCAGGCTCAAAGCAGACCTCTGAAAGTTGGAAAGCTTCATGTTTCTCATGAGGAACATCTGGTTCATGGACTGCAGAGGTGGTTAACCTGTTGACCATCTCTTTCTTCACATTTATCTTATATTCTTTGGACTGGCTGGCTGACCCATATAATTTGTAATCACCTTAGAAAGACAGAAAAGATTGTTTATTAAGGGATGATAGCCAATTTGTTTTTTTGTTCTTCTAGATATTTTCAAACCCAGGAGGCATCTCTAAAAGAAATATATACAGTAGAGAATGTAGACTTTTGTGCTTGTTTAACCCTAAAAGTCAAATCATACAAAGTTTCATAAATAAGCACAAGTATTACTAAAGTTTTCCTTCAGCTGGAGATCCACTAAATCTGGGTGTATACCAGGGTTATTGTATTTAACTAATTATACACCAGGAGAAAATGAAAAGACAGAATCTATATAATGTATATTTCAAAATCCCTTTGTTATTTCTGAGCCCAGAAAGGAGAGACAATAGAAGAAGTCATTTTCCATCTGCTTGCTGAGGCCAGACTCTACTAGTCACCCCTCAAAGCATTCATTCAGGCCTACTGACATTAAGCCATTATAAGAAGTGTAGTTTTCATTTGTCTTTTTTATTGTTTTCTTCCTCCCCAATACCCTTTTTGTATGCTGCATATTACATCTTTTAAATAGCGAGTCTAAAGACAGATGCTATCATGTTACTTTATTGATCTCAGCCTCTCCAGAATAGCTGTAGAAAGACCTCTTTAAGCGGGATGAACAGTCATCCTGATGGCAGATGCAGTTCTGTTCAAGTAGGTCTAAAGTGAAATTGATTAGGGCAAAAAGCCTCTAACTTCCGAGACATCTGAAACTAACCAGGGAAAAAAAAGGTGTGTTATGGTGACGAGCACCCAGGAGATGCCAATTCTATATGCAGCAGCTGTGAAAAAGGCAAACTGCATGTTATGGATCATTAGGAAAGCGACTGAAAATAAAAATGCCAACACTGTAATGTCCTTATGGTATGTTCATATATGGATTGCTGCATACAGTTCGGGCCTGCAGATTAAAAAACAACAAGACAGATTAAATGCCTTATCTATGGTATTATCTAGTCTGGAAGAAAGATGTCCGGTGGGAGTGTGGTACATGATCAGGATATATAAAACCATGCATGAATGGAGACAGTGAAGAGTTCTCCTCTGTTCTTCAGAACATTCAGACTGGTCATTATCCAGTGAACCTCTTTGGAAGGAGATACAAGGCAGGCAAAGAAAGTGGAAGGATTCTTATGTGCTTTTGTGACTTTGAAATTCTGGGGTTTGTGCAATGTGGGCTTTGTGTTCTTAAGGAATGTTTGGCAATTTCCATTTGGCTGATGGCTGATGTCTCGTGTTAGCTTCTGTTGCTCTGCTATTGTTAGCTGTAGGTTTTGCTGCAAGAGATTTTGAAGTATTTTTCTCCTGAGTGGATTGTGCCTGTAGCATTCCTTTACTTATGAATGGACCATTTGGGGAGGCTGCCCTAGCCAGCACTTACTACATTTTTTTTTCTTCCTTAAGTGCTGGCTGCCGGCTCCTTAACTTTCTTTTCTAGCCAGTAGCTAATTCTTAAAGGGGAATGTGCCTTTTAAAGCTAGTTCCCTCAGTGGCTTGTCTTTTCTGTCTCTGGAGGCTTTTCCTTGTTTGATGAATATATGGAAGAGGGAAAATATGGGGGGAGGGTCAAATTCTTCCTTCAGAAGGAGATGGGAATGGGAAAGGGAGGCAGGGAGGGAGGAAAGGAAGTCCCGCCTTAGCACTTGGCCACCAGCAGCCCTGCCATTGACTTTGCTTGTCAAAAGGTTGCAAAAGGGGATCACATGACCCTGGAACACTGTGACCATTATAAATATGAATCAGTTGCCAAGCATCCAAACATAAATCACATGACCCTGGGCATGCTGCAATGGTCATAAGTGTGAAAAATGGTCATAAGTCATTTCAGTGCAATTGCAACTTTGAACAGGTTTTTTTTTGGTCATCAAGTTTTTGACACCTTGCTAGGCGGTACTCAAATATTGCCATATCCTAAAAATGGTACAATTGTTGAAAAAGTTGAAAAGCCCTGCTCTAACCAACTAAAGAACCAAGAAGTAATAATGCTGGGTCTCCTCATAAAATTCTTGGAGGAAGAGATCTGAATCAGAAAGTTCAGCTTGAAGTTCATACCCTTGGCAGCTACTTTTAATAATTTCTAATGAAAAAATGTGAGAATTGCTAAAAATCCTATTTATTTTACTAACCATTTCACATTAGTTAGGCAATATCCTAGACTGGCACTTCTCGTTTGTTTTGAACTGTAAATTGTTATAATGATTTATGTTTGCAGTCTTATAACTTAAAGGCTTTATATACAACCTCTAATATAGGTAACAATTAATGAAAATTGCAACAACTTATTTTGATGCAAATAATTTTACTTTAATCCTTTGACATACAGCATTTTATCCAGCTTTTAAATTCCTCTGATGGAAACTCCTTTTAAAAGCAAGTGCCATGTTGTATGCAACTTTCATCAGCAAACTATCAGATGCAAAGTTTTGATTGAATTTGAAGCGGAAAAGACCTGCTAACAACCTGCATTTGATACTGATGTTCATCTATTATAAAGTCGGTGGGCTAGTTGGTGGGGTGGAACCTTCCCAAAGTCCTCAAAGAATTCAACAGAGTTCATGGCATACTTCTATACCAACTACACATTTCTACTCTTAACATCATATATGGAATGTTTCAGTGGTGGAATTCAAATATGTGAACAATTGGTTCTCTGTGTGGATGCCGCTTCCGGAAGTCCGTTCTGGGCCTGAGCAACAAAAAATTAGCTACCGGTTCTGCCAAACTGATGCGAACTGGCTGAACCCCACCATTGGAATGTTTCAATCTAACTTGAGTTGCTTCACTTATGATGGATATAATGATGGTTTATATTCTGGATTATTCTTTCTCTGGCAATTATACCCCCTAAAGTGCTATTACTAATAGATGAGAAACTAATAAAATAAATATTAAAACATGATACCAATTCATTATAAATTAATCTAGTCAGATTTTTAAATTGTTTTCATTATTTATTATCTTGATTATCTGTTCTTTTATTATCACCATTTTCTTGCTTAATTTATTAATTCAGAGATAGTGTTGTATCTGAAATTCAAATAGCCATTTACAAAATATTGTATGAGCCTCTCACTAAAAATGCAGGTTTAATTAGAATAACAGATAAAGCATCCTTGATGCCCCTTTCTTGCCACACTGGCAATAAACCTAACACATTGTTTCAAAGATTCAGCTTCAGCAAAGAAATTATTTTGTGCATGTTTGAAACTTTTTCAGACCAGCAAATAAGCAAACTATGTTTTCTGCACCTTTTTTTTTTGAACAGTACCAAATACTTTATTGGTTATTGCTTGGATTATTTTGTGGTCCCACTAATTATTGCTTGCAGGCAAATGGTATTTCTTCCAGTTCTTCCAATGCACCATTGTTGCTATTTTGTCATGCCATTGGTTGTAGTCAGTCTGTTTAGTCTTCTTGCAGCCTCCAACTAGATGGTCAACCATTTTCTTCAGCTTCTTTGCAGAGGCTGCTTTTACTGTCTGATGCTGACTTCTCAATTCTGGGATGCATTCTCTGTATGCTTTTGTTCTTGAGGCTTGGTTTTGCACAGGCAGAAATAGCCCTCATTCTCTTTCTTAAACTTTCATGCTCTTACCCATTGCCAGCTCTTATTATTTGCTTTGCCTGCTACTATTTTTTAATGTACTGGCCATGTAATGTTTTGCTTGCCATATCTATTTTCTGTTCTTCACTTGGTCTTTCTTCTACTGGTCTCTCAAGTACTCAGTCAATCCTCATGATATACTAGCTTCAATGCAGCTTCTTCACTTCAGATACTCTTCCAATATCTTTATTTCTCCTTCAACCATCTGGTGTACTTGTAACATTCCATGCCCATCTATTTTCCTTGGTAAGTAGAGTCTGCCAACACTGCTATGGGGATGAAAAGTATGATTCTTGTAATTATTTTTTCTGGTCTTCTTATCCAGGGCATTTAGTTCTGCTTGAGTCCAATACACAACTCCAGCTGTGTATCTAATGACTGGAATTGCCCAGGTATTAATTGCTTGTTAGTATTTCGTCCACTGAGTTTGGACTTCAATATATTCTTCACTCTCATGATATATTCACTACCAACCTTCAATGTCTTTGATGGCCAGATATTTGTACTGATTTTCTTCATCCAGGCTCTTGAAATTATTACCATAAGGTATCTTGATTCCAGATTTCTTTGTTTCCCTGGTTGATGGTAAGATTGACATATTTGTTCAATCCAAACTCGATTGCAATATCTTGGCTATATTGATCTTTGCACAAAGCTTTTGTTATTTCTGCTGACTCCTGTTACTTTAGGTACTTGACTATCCAGTCATATAACAGGGAGTCAAATGTTTTGTTGTAATCAGTTCAAGCTACATTAATGTTGGTTGTGTTCCTCTTGCAATTTTCTAAAATCATCTTATCAATTAAGAACTGATATCTTGTTCCTCTGCTCTTTGAGCAATTTCCATTCTGCTTAGGTGGAAAGAGGTTATTTTCAACTAGATGCCTGATCTTCCATGTTTGTGGCTCTTCTTGATTTTTGATTTTGTATCCAAGATATTCTATTATAACAGCAGCTGTTATATGCTATACATTATCTGGATTGTTTCTTGCAGTGAGCTGGTGCTTATATTTGATATTATGGTATTGGCATCTTTTAATCCTTGTGCTAGCTGTTTTTTTGGAACAAACTTCAATACTGGCAACCTCTTTCTGTGCTTTTGTAGATCAGGGGTCCCCAATCCCCAGGCCACAGCCCACTACTGGTCTATGAGTTGTTTAGAACCAGGCCACCTGAAGTGGTGGGCGAGTATGCAGGTGCATCCTCACTTCTACGAGTAGTGGGCAAGTGTGAGTGTGCTCCACTTGGGCAAGTAGCAGGTGTGTGCCTGCCACTCACATAAATGGAGCTTGCGCTTGCCCACCGCTCACATGGAACCTTCCCCCTCCCCCCACTGGTCCACAAAGCTGAAAAGGTTGGGGAACTCTGTTCTAGATGTTCAATTATTCTTTGTTTCAAAT